AGGTAGATACATTAACGTTGAAAGAATTGATAGAGTTTGCAACTTTTGTACGAGTGGCGATATTGAAGATGAGTATCACTTTATTTTAAAATGCGAACATTATAAAGATATAAGGAGACGTTTTATTAAAAAGTATTACTAAATGAAACCAAGTATGGCAAGATTTATACAACTTTTGGAAACAGAAAATACTAAAGATCTGTCGAATTTAGGAAAATTTATAAGTATTAGTAACAAAAGGAGAATAAATACTGTTTAAGACATTAATTTAAATTTATATGTGTAGAGTTAGATATATGGACTTATTCTCTACACTTAGATCCTGTGTACGTGGTCTGTGTGTGCTGTGTGCTATGTATTTCCTAAGTTTATTGTTGTGTTTGTACTTGCACTGTAAATACATGCACTGTACTGATAAACCGTAAGGTTTAAAGTAAATAAACTGATGAACTGATGAACTGATGAACCTGTCCAGGTAAACCACAGGGGTTCTCAGTTGGGGTTTTACTAGCGCGTCCTTCAACATGACTTCAAAATCACTCTTCCATGACTGACCCCATTCTATCGGTGAGCTGACTTGCCTACGATTCAATAAGCCCTAAGGGGACATAACCCATGGTATCCCGTAGAAATAATAACAGTTGCAAATGAACACAATAGCACCTCTGTGCTCTCATAAGGAAGCCTTCAAACGTCACTCTCTTCTCTATGAAGGCTACAACATTTACCTGTATGATCATGTCTGTACAGGTGTCCGAGTAAAATGGTACCTACTTAGTCTGCAATAGTAATTTTATGAAATCACTCATCCACATTCTATCCGTGGGCTCTCGTGCCTACGACTCGATACGCAGTAAGGGGACGTAACTCATGGTATCCCGTAGAAACAGCTTCATATGGAGATGCTTGGGATGCTTTTTCCACGAATGTTTACAAACTATGATAATTATGTGATAACAGAAACTTACATGACATCCTATTTCATATGAAGTCGATAAAAGTCTTTACGAATGTTTCATTATACCTTATTAGGCAATGTTAACTTTAAAAAAAAAATAGATCTAAGAGTATGCTATTTCCACTCATTCACTATAACAGAAAAGAGATATCGAATTGAAATCAGCACAAAGTTGTATAACAAAGATAGCACAATGGTCAAATTTTAATTTCGTTCTGGTCAACTTATCTTTTCAGAGTTATGGCCCCTTCAATCTGCATTTTTCTTGGTGCTTGGTGAGAATTGAAATGACATGTGGCTGTAATTCTGTTTCCATTCATTTTCTGATTTCTGACAGTCTGAAGAGTCAAGACTATCCTCTTGAAAAAGCTCCATACTTCTCATTGGTTACTGGGGGCATTCGTTTTGCATCTAGTTTCAACAGCATATCTATGTTTATGCAAATTTCTTGCTGTCTACAAGGGAAGCGTGTCAGTGCTTCGTTGTGTAACTGAAATATCCTTTTAGGAATCGGATTCACAAGGGTCTATAGAACTTCGGTGTTTGTTTCATAAAACACGGTGTGGGTCATTTTGATATTTATAGTGTTTCCTGTCAGCATTAGAAGTGTCTGAGTCTACCAGAAAGCTACTTTGATTTTGGTTTTCTTTGTGTGTGTTTGCTATTACTTTGCTTTCATATTGATGTAACACTTCCAGATTTAAGGACTGATTGACAAAGTTTGATAATAATATGGCCGAATATTGCAGCAAATGCGCCGGAAAAAGCAAATAATAATAACGAAAATATTAATGTTATTGTCCATCAGGAAGTACTCTGTATAACTGCTAGTAATGAACACAGCACTTTAGAGAAAACGAATGACTAGTTAAAAAGTTGATAGTACAACATATTTCATGCTTATTGTTCAGGTGTTTTTAACACGTGCTTGAATGTAAAATTTGGTTTCTCCTATTCGAATAGTATCATGTATCTATTCTTTTTGAAAAAAAAACCACCTACGGAATATTTAGAACAGATAATCTCTATGGCTCACCATACATATTTGTTTATATTATAGTAGAGAGATGAACATGTAATGCATTTATTTTCCATATTTATGATAAAAACATGATTTTCAATTTCCTTTTTGACGAATAGCCACAACAGTACTGAAAATGATGTAGATTTCAATACCATGTTTGATGTCGGTTGTAACTGCCATGCCGCTTCGTAACTCAAAGATAACTGTAGTTAATTGTACTTATGTATGCTGGTTGTAGATTCAAATTGTTGACGGCAATTTAGTGCTACTACTATGTGTGATATGCTGTAATATGTAACGGTAATTTTTATTCTCACGTTTTTATAAATGTGTAACTGATTTATTTTATATTCAACAGATGTAAAGTACACAATCTATCCTATCCACTTACTTTTACAGCGTATTATTTTGAAGTAAGAATCTAAAGATAGCAACGTGGAGACTGGACAAACAGCGACATTATTCTTTGCCGAAATGAGTGGATGCAAAAATGTTCTGAAATTCCCTGACGATTTGGTTTCAAAGAGTCCTATCTCTTCCGTATCTGTTTGGAAAGATATTTTCAAGGCACAGTGTATCAATGTAGGAAAATAAAGTACCTGTTAAAAAGCACTTTCAATACAACATAGAATTAAATACGGTTGAGCCGAATAGTGAAAGAAACGGCATCATCAATACCTGTCATTGATGCTTGGGACCTAAATTGCCTGGGAGGCCCAGGGTTGGAAATGATTGTCAAAACCAAATGGGGAAATATTCAATTTCAATCATAACGTTAAATATTAATCCACTTCAAATCTTTATATCGTATAGTATGTCATTAAGAATTATCTAGTTGCACCTGTGGTCTTTGTGTTTGTCAATTTGTATTTGTTTTGTTTGGTCTTGTTTTATCAGTTTTTGCTTATTTTTAATTGCTTAATGTATCTGTATGTATGGGCTTTGGGTTTAAACTGGTGTAATACACTATACAATTTATTTCCATACAACATGTAATAAATACTTATGAGTAATTGATAAACGCCTTCATCGGAAATTAATTTTAAGTTAGATTAATTACAAAGGACGTGTTGTTTCTAGTTGTGTGGTATGTAACGCATTCATACAAAATTCTTATATATAAATTACAAAAAATGACATGAACCACACAAATGGAAAGCATACAATATTAGTTTTATCAGAAAATAATAACAGGAATAGGAGTAAGAGATGCTCTCCTATAAATAACACTGGTATAGGAGCCGCTCATTGGAATGATTAACGATCCAAAAATCTACAAAATATAATAAATTTCTTAATGTATTCCACTATGCCTTCTAAATATAACGTAAAGCTTCTTTATATATATATATTTCTATATTTTGCACATTGAAATATACAGTGCAAATGAAATATATATGAAAATATAATTGCATGCATTTCACATGTATATTTTTACATTATTTAGAAAGACTTGTAGAAGGTTATATGGAAATATACAGCATCGACATTATACATGATTAGCATATATACCCATTTCTTTTAAGGTAGCACTTTCTTAATATTTTCTATGGTAGTGCGAGTTGTTGACAGGTATACATTTCCCAATAGACTTGATAGACAAAACAGAACATGGAACAAAACGAAGACTGTTTATTTAAATTACTTGAAGTTCGTTTAAAATCATACTTCACCATATGCTTTTGTTTAGACCAATTTCGATTGTTCTAATTCACCTTCCTGATTTCCACATTTTAGGCCCCTAGTATCACTGACAAGCCCTAGAAGGAGAGGACAGCTGTATGATGCAGTTAAATCATCTTACACATACAGCATCTAATTCGTCATTGTGTATCTTTTGTACAAATCATTGACCGAGACATTCTCGATTGATATTGGAGGAACTCATACAGAAAATACTACTAAAAGACAGCAAAACTCGACATTTCCGAATTTCATTTATTGATTGATAATCATATATATATATATCTTTGCACAACAGATATTCTATATACAGTTGTTTCTGGACATTTAAAGTACAGTATTTATAACCTATAGACAATTGTACATAACATAATGTTTACTGTAGTGGAACGAACTTTATATTTATTGGATTAATCTCTGTCAAAGTCAAACACGTACTATTTCTCCTTGTAAATCTGAATTACAATAGTTCAATTTCCTTTAGTCAAAAAATCGGTGTTTTATTTTATTTTTACTATTTCGCATCTAATACAGGAAAACAAAATATAAAACCTCTGCGATATTTTCGTCCATTTCGTATTAAAAAACAAAAAACCGACATCAACAATTTTATAGTTCTGCAATTAGTGTACGAAATACTTTCCTCATATTTTCACATAGGGGATTTCAAAAGTAAGGGGTTTTAAACTCATTGCAGACCACGTATTTCCAGAAATAATTTTTGACTTTCCATTGGCAGTTTATATATGTAACTATGTACACACTACTGACAACAAGTTGTTCATTACATTAAGAATCATTTTCAGTGCCTGTTTGTGACGAAGGTATTTCAATAAAGTCGGGACTTTGCCAAAAGCGCATAATTTGTTTCCAAACGAATTCGAATAATTGACTCTATTCAGGGCCTTCAGATAAAATTTTGAAAACAAAAATTATCAATGGGGCTTAAAGTGAATAATGTAAAATGAATAATGTAATTTGAAACAAAGATATCTCTTTGAAACAAATCATTATATCTACGGTCTCATTAAAATAATTTTTAAAATATCTAACAGTACTATTTAAAGCAAAAGTAAATTAAAACAAAGTTATAATGTTTTTCTGAGTAAAACTATAACACAACACCTCCCTGCCATATTAAATATTACATTGTGACCACGACAAGCGTATGGTCAATATATAAGACTATCACACATTCATAACTGGATTCATTTTTACAACAAAATTATTCAAACAATTGGATTTCATTTGTAGCTATATTTGGCATCCGACCTGATACATATGTATATGTACCCCCTGGTAATGTGACACGTGGTCAGATATTACCGTTTTTGTTTATGGACGGTATAGAAATTCTGTCATCGGCTTGCACTTGTAGATTTCCAGCTGAAAAGAGAAAAAAGAAATACAATAATTTCGTTTTTATGATACAGTTGGTCATGCTTTGTTTCATTGGGAGGAAACATACAATGTAATCATGATCCCTTGTCATGTAATTTATGTAACGCGATTGCATTGCTTCGGAATTCGTTAATAAATAATCTGTTTCTATATTTGAATACCATACAAAATCAAACAAATGCCGATGTGATCGCATCTATTTACTTTATAGGACAATGCTAACTTTTTTTACATACAGAGGAAAATATCTTATTTAAGATGTTAATCTACCAGCTATAGCTCTCTACTCCCAATTAATTCTATGAATATTCCACAACTCTTTTGAGGCAAGTGAACTGTCGGAACGTAAGGAAGGAAATTAATATAAGCTTGTATTTCAGTCCTTTTGTCATATATGGTATTTTATATATTTTTATTATGATTATAATAATACGTAATTGTTCGAAAATATTTTGTCTATACTAAGCGATGCCATATTTCATATTGATTACCAAAAGTAACGTGTTCCCATAGTAGGTCATTGGTTCATAGTATTTCAACAGTAAATGGATAACGACTATGTCTCTCCTCTCTAGAATATACTGGCTACCACAAAACAGTCTATCAATATAAATTAATTTGTATGGAACTGTGCACATATGTGACACTTAAAATTTGTAGCTTAAGTACCTAACTCTGCCTCCAGTAAAGGTTACTGTAACATAAGGTCCGAAAGTACATAAATATAATTGACCAATGGATCTTAGCTCTGACAGAATAGAAGTTTCATACCGCATTTAGATTTGTCAATGCCACATTTTAATAGTATTTCTTGTGGTAGACATTTTGCTGTTGGCAAAAATTTTATCGACATTTAAATTGTTGCTGACATTTAAACACAACACTTAGCGAGTAATTTAATGATAAGAAGACAATACGTGCATGCTAATTACAAGGTAATTTCTGACTGAACTACAAGTTTTCCTTTATTAAAAACTCATTTCAATATTTGTCAATACTGTATTAATTCTGAATTTTATACTTTTGTGTAATCCTTCAAAAGGTGATCATATCAAATAGATAATGTAAATCTTTTGCACTCATTATCATTCCTGTTTTGTTTCCTGCAGCTGGATAGTTTATTTGAATTTCTAATGGATTTTCTTTCAACATTAATGTTGTCCCAGACATCCTTATTCGACACCATGCCTGTCAGAATTTTGCCCGTCTTCGGTTGGTTTCTCGTAATAACGTTATTTATTTGTTTAAATTTACACTTTATCATGACATATATGAGAAATAACAGGGAATTTGAAGAGTGTACAAACAAATTTTAATGACACACTTCAAAGTACAAATTTAGCATTAGCTGCAATAGAGCCAAATAATGAATTAACGAAACGCAACGAATGTATCTAAGTTAATACGGATCGCGGAGTTCGGAATTCTCTGTAGGTGAAATTCGCATGATTTAGATAAATACAATATACTGCCATATTAGATATATCAACAACATACATATCAAAATGTTTAGTTCGATATTGTATAATTGATATACAAAGCTGTATAACAATTTTGCCGCCGTCGTCATATTATTAGTGTCCTAGACGGCCTATGTATTTATAATACTATGATTGCAACTGGTCCTATTGTATTGTGACATCTAAGTGCACCTGCCCGCCGTTCCATGGTTTAGATGATCCCATTTTAGGATTTACTCCTTAGCGTAAGATGAGTGTTTTGCTAAATTTCACCAGATACCTAAGTATTATTGCCAAACACGTTGTTGATGGTGTGGATATAGATAATTAAATATTTTTTTAAACATACGGGTTTAGCAAAATGCATAAATGAAGTAAATGTACTATAAGATTTTCAATACTTTTTCACAGAAAGAAAAAAATTCTTCTGGATTTACTCCGCGTCACATTATCAAATCAATATGACCTTAAATTGAACACGTTTTTGTGACAGAGTATAGCAATAGATACTTTGCCACCTCCGTCACACTTCGTAACACATAATTAATCGTCATACAGACTAACAGCTGCTACAGATTTCATAAGATCCATCATTATTCCGAAAATGAATGATTTATATGCTGTCTATTTTAAAGGTGCTTTCAACGTGGATTTCCTATACTATAATCGCTGCTGTACACTATTAAAGCCCCAAGGTCATTTTATGTCATTAATCAACATTCTATTGTCTAAAATATTAGGTTATACAAGAAACAATACTGTATAAGCAATAAGTCATCAAACGAGTTATAAAGGAAGTCGATCAGGTATATTTTATGATGTTCCTGGAAATCGCATCATCCTTGCATTCTCAACCTGTGTTGTTAACGTGTCGCAGATGATTCGACATTCTAGGGTCTGTTCCAAGTATAACGATTTTTACTATAGTTTCATCGACTGTGTGTTCGAGTTAAGCTTCTGTTAAAGTGATTACAAGTCTTTTGTTGATTCTATTGCCTGCATACTGATAGAAAGTATCATCATTCATGGCAGTAATAACATTTTAAAACGTCTTCTATTTAATAAACATCTTTTAAAACTTAACATTCTTTGTTAAACTATTGACTGTTTCAGTTTCTTTATGATATATGATGTATGATATATTTTCTAATGAAAAAGGAATTTTGGTTTCTTTCCCATTGCGCTTTCCAAATTTTCAAAAGAAACACGACATTAGTTGAATTTGTTACAACTTCACACAGATGATTATCATCGATTAAGCAAAAGGGCTTTACTCTTTCATACATACTATCATCTTGTTGCCTATTTACCTCTTCAATTATCACTATCTAAAATTCATGAGCTAATTTTGCACCTACAAATCGAATTTTAGGCTCGATTGCTGTTTTTGTAGTACTTTGGTAGTTTATTATCGTCATTTGTGTTAACTTCTGAGTGCATCTGTTGGAAATCGGCTAATGTTACATCCACGTCGAATTTTCGTCCTCTTAAATAGATTAACTGAGCAAAAACCACAAAAGCTTGCATTAATTATGAGAACGTGACAAGAAACCATCCATGCGGAACTGAGAATCGCTGAATTTGATCCTGATATGTCACCACGCAGAATATCAGTGTACGACGGAAGGATTAAACCACCGATATTACATCATCACGCAGAATATCAGTGTACGACGGAAGGATTAAACCACCGATATTACATCACCACGCAGAATATCAGTGTACGACGGAAGGGTTAAACCACCGATATTACATCACCACGCAGAATATCAGTGTACGACGGAAGGATTAAACCACCGATATTACATCACCACGCAGAATATCAGTGTACGACGGAAGGATCACCACGCACATCACCACGCAGAATATCAGTGTACGACGGAAGGATTAAACCACCGATATTACATCACCACGCAGAATATCAGTGTACGACGGAAGGATTAAACCACCGATATTACATCACCACGCAGAATATCAGTGTACGACGGAAGGATTAAACCCGACCGATATTACATCACCACCGATATTACATCACCACGCAGAATATCAGTGTACGACGGAAGGATTAAACCACCGATATTACATCACCACGCAGAATATCAGTGTACGACGGAAGGATTAAACCACCGATATTACATCACCACCGATATTTCACCACGCAGAATATCAGTGTACGACGGAAGGATTAAACCACCGATATTACATCACCACGCAGAATATCAGTGTACGACGGAAGGATTAAACCACCGATATTACATCATCACCACGCAGAATATATTACATCACCACGCAGTATCAGTACGACGGAAGGATTAAACCACCGATATTACATCACCACGCAGAATATCAGTGTACGACGGAAGGATTAAACCACCGATATTACATCACCACGCAGAATATCAGTGTACGACGGAAGGATTAAACCACCGATATTACATCACCACGCAGAATATCAGTGTACGACGGAAGGATTAAACCACCGATATTACATCACCACGCAGAATATCAGTGTACGACGGAAGGGTTAAATCACCGATATTACATCACCACGCAGAATATCAGTGTACGACGGAAGGGTTAAACCACCGATATTACATCACCACGCAGAATATCAGTGTACGACGGAAGGGTTAAACCGCCGATATTACATCACCACGCAGAATATCAGTGTACGACGGAAGGGTTAAACCGCCGATATTACATCACCACGCAGAATATCAGTGTACGACGGAAGGATTAAACCGCCGATATTACATCACCACGCAGAATATCAGTGTACGACGGAAGGATTAAACCGCCGATATTACATCACCACGCAGAATATCAGTGTACGACGGAAGGATTAAACCACCGATATCATATATGTATACAAAAAGCCGTTATACTTGGAATCTGAGATATTTCACTTTGAAACTTACGAACTTTTTTTCGTTCATTTTACTATTTAATTTATCGTGATGCATGCAAGTTGTTTAATCTTGAATTTACCAGTAGTCCACACATTTCACAAGCTATATATCTTGACCTATACTAGTCTTTTTCTATCTGTTTCACCTTGACCATTAAACAGTTAAGACATATTTTACTTACTGTTTTACTTTGATATTTACTAGCATACACATTTTCCCTTACACTTGAACATTACAAGCCTATATGTTTTACTAGCTGTTTTACTTTGACCAATGATAGCAAACACATTTTCCGGTTGTTTACCTTGACCTTTACAAGCATATCCATTTTACTATAGATTTCATTTTGACCTTTAATAGGGTACACACACCAGTTGCTTTCACTAGCTATTTTACCCCAGCATTACTATCCGTGCTGCCTACAAGAGCTGACCTATGTATAGAGAATTTGTTAACCAAGTCTCTAACTATAATCAGTCGCAACACATGTTAAGATACATTAACCACTGGATATCATCTAATCTTAACATCGAGTGTATATATACAATAATGCTGGAATACGTCGTTATTCATAATAACGTAGGCGCGACATGCAGTGTTGTAGCAAAGCTGAGCATGAAGCAATCTCACAGGCAATAAAACGCAAACACCAACAAAAACTACTACATGTTACAGGTAAGAGTTTTACATTGACAAAATAACCAGCTCTGGACACGTAGTTAACAAGATTAATTACACAATAAGCATGGTAGTTACGTACACCTGTAATTGATATTTGCTGTAAAAATAAATTTATATTTCATTAATTGAAACTTACCTGGTCCATTTCTCCTGCGAAGTTTTCCAGGCCCCAACCATGACCTATCTGTATTGCACAAGCTCTTCTTTCAATACGACCTGGGTTGAAGTGAAAATAAAGTGAAACACTTATATATATACTTTAAAGAAAGTTTATAAGTGAAAACGAAGACTAGCTTTCACGTTTAAAATTGTAATATCATAGTTCTATGAATTTCGCCTCTGTTTAATTGATTTAGATATGTATTGCTAGAGAAATCTACTTACCTGGTACATTTTGGGAAAATTTCCTGTTATTAACTCGGCCTTGAAGCTTCCCATCAGCTAGTTTGAATTCTACCATTTTCCATTCAGTTCTCTATTAAATAAGAAACATTAACGCTATGTTGTTACACAATATGGTTTCTAATACACAGCAACGTCAACAATGAAACATGAAAATCTACTGCTGAGATATAAAAACAAAAGCAAAGAGAAATATTCAGCAACTCACAATGCGATAAAAAGAAAAAAAAATAATATGTCCACCGAAATATAACTTTTTCCCTGGACCGATAGATACATATTTGGTGAAATGTTTTGTTTGCCATGGTGACGTTTTTTCAGAATATTTGGGATTGAAACATCAATACATAAACATGTATGCATATAATGCTGGTCTTTTATTGATTAACGAAATGAGGAAATAAAACAGATGTCATGTAGCAAATAATCTGCGACAAACCATTTGATTTCTAATTCAATACATGTAGTATGACGAATATCATTTCAGACACAAAAGTTACATGTTTAAAATGTTATGGAATAAGTCAACAGTAAACAAGAGATTCCAGAGGGATCTTGACGTCGCCATCATTATTTGTTATTGATAACTTTGATATTTTCCTTTCTTTCCTCTTCTTTTCTTTATCTTATTTCCATGAAATCTGAAAATTCCTTCTAGGACATAGTAATCATAAATGCTGAATTTTTTTCTCTTATGAAAGTCTCAAAACCAAGGTGCCTATTAGCCATTTTGTTTATCTTCTTAAAGTTTCAAAACCAAAGTGCCTATCGGCCATTTTGTTTATCTTCTTAGTCTCAAAACCAAAGTGCCTATCGGCCATTTTGTTTATCTTATTAAAGTCTCAAAACCAAGGTGCCTATCGGCCATTTTGTTTCTTTATCAGTCTAAAAAAACACAACTTAGGCCCAAAGAGAACTATGTACAGATGCTATTTGAGAAATATCCATTCTTTGTTTCTCATTTAATAGAAATAGCAAATTCTCAGTCAAAATCCAAGAAGGTGCGGTTCACGCCGGTCATTTGTCTGAAGGAGGTGACCGTTGAAACGTCACACTTTAATCTTCTACTGGTTTTGTGATGAGAACTTCTATTCTATTGATATTATCAACATGTAATAAACGTTCCAAAAGATAACAAGAATTGTTTAAGGACGGAAGACGGACGACGAACGCCGGGCGTAGGGCGATTTGAAAAAAAAAACAAAAAAAAAAAACAGCAACAAGAAACAGAGTACGTACGGGTTTTCTCATTCTGAAGCCGTAGAGGCCACGTGTTTTATCCGTATCTACGCCAAACCGGATGCCGTTTGGATCAGTTGCTATGACGATGGATCCATCACTTCCACAATCGCCATTACTAATCAGTGCGGCATTTGTAGAAAGTGTGTTTCTCGCTTCTCGGTAACGAATACGTACAATAAATGTAAACCCAAAGTCATCATTTGTGAATCGTTGGATTAAGAGTTCAGATTTCCCATCAAATATAGCCATTCCATTTTCTACCTTCACTCCTTTCTTGGTAACCCACAAATGTTTTCCGGAAGTGTCCTGAACATCATTTTCGAAATTTAGAATCACTTCCGCATTACAATCTAAAAAAAAAAAAAATCAAATGCTCATACAATCGTTTGCTTAATCAACATTTAAGTAAAATCGTCTCCAGGAAAGATTTTTTAAACTAGGTATTAATAAATCAAACTGTGCTTCAATACTCCAGTTATTCACACCCCTATCTCTTTGATATTTTGTTTTGCTGTTGAAGAAGTTTTAAAGTACATTTTGTATGCTTGTTAATGAAGCTTTGCCCAAATCTTGTAAAGAATGCAAATTAGTTTGTGACATTTATTTTCGTTACAATAAAAAGCAACCAGACTTTGGAATGAGGAAATATATTAGGTGATTTTGAATGTTTACCTGTATCTTTATCACTAAGACTAGCGGAGAATTCCGAACATCGACATTCCTTTTGGTCAAATTTCGTTCCTGGAGCACAAGGCATCATCAGCCATCCGTGCCCTTCTACATCCCTCTCATAGAAAGCGTCTTGACCAGGTACAGCCCTGTCCTTACACACTGCAAAGAAGTGTTTGTTTGGGTGTCGTGATTTACAGTAGTCGATAAAATGTACAAAACTAAGTGTAAATCGGAAGTTTCGATTGGACTTGATAAACTTTTCTTATACAACAAATCCGCGTGACGATAAAAACAGCTATAATATATATTGCGTTAACAGGTTATAAATAGGATCGCAATGATATAGTGCCACCAAATTATATTTAACAAAACACAGGCGTGTCTATTGGTCTACAGTATCGATTGCATAGCATTTCTTAGAAAATTTACATCAAATATGTTCATAAATGTTAACAGATTACGAAGTTTTAAATACCCCAGGTACATAGATCGAAATTATTCAAAGTTTCGACAGGGTACGGAAGTCTTTTTTACTAAACACATGAGCACGTCCGAAATTTACATCAAATATGTTCATAAATGTTAACAGATTACGAAGTTTTAAATACCCCAAGTACATAGATCGAAATTATTTCAAAGTTTCAACAGGGTACGGAAGTCTTTTTTACTAAACACACGAGCACGTCCGAAAGTGATATAAAATAAAAAGTTGATCACGCTAACCTATGAAAGCATTGATGTCATTTTACATTGTTAGCTGTTGATTTTCCCCTCAGAAATAAGTATAAAACAGTACAGAAGGTAGTGCGGCACACCAGCAACATCAAATTCAGCTGTGGTGTTTCAAGAAACTGCAGAAGCTGTCGTCATCAGTAAACTTTTATGTGCAGTTTAATTACTCTGAAATATGTCAACATAACAGTCTAATGCAGTACCGTTGTCTCGGTTACCTGTTTTCGTTGGAGGAGTGTAGGACCAAGTACAAGTTGGCGGACAGGTCGCGTCCTTGACACACATTCCAACATCGGTGTTGTAAGCTTGGCCAGGGGGACAACATTGTTGAGAGGCATGCCCATTTTCACATGTCCAGTAGGCCTGGCAATGGGCGCGATTGGCATAGCGTTGCACCAGTAAGTTATGACACATATCTGGAAGAGAGGAAGACAAATTAAACGTTTTATAACCTGTTTAAATAATGCAAGTGCAAAGAACAACTCCGATATAAAAGGAAAAGTGACTGATTATGAAAACTAAAACAGTAAAACAAAATACGGGACGAAGATTAAACAGGAAATACTAAGACAAACGGGACGAAGACTCAACAGGAAGTACTAAGACAAACGGGACGAAGACTGAACAGGAAGTACTAAGACAAACGGGACGAAGACTAAACAGGAAGTACTAAGACAAATGGGTCAAAGACTAAACAGGAAGTACTAAGACAAATGGGTCAAAGACTAAACAGGAAGTACTAAGACAAACGGGACGAAGACTGAACAGGAAGTACTAAGACAAATGGGACGAAGACTTAACAGGAAGTACTAAGATAAACGGGACGAAGACTAAACAGGAAGTACTAAGACAAATGGGTCAAAGACTAAACAGGAAGTACTAAGACAAATGGGTCAAAGACTAAACAGGAAGTACTAAGATAAACGGGACGAAGACTCAACAGGAAGTACTAAGACAAACGGGACGAAGACTCAACAGGAAGTACTAAGACAAACGGGACGAAGACTGAACAGGAAGTACTAAGACAAATGGGACGAAGACTTAACAGGAAGTACTAAAACAAATGGGACGAAGACTCAACAGGAAGTACTAAGATAAACGGGACGAAGACTAAACAGGAAGTACCAAGACGAACGGGACAAAGACTAAACAGGAAGTACTTAGGCAGACGGGACGAAGAAGGAACGTGAAAAAATAAAATCCAAATATACAAGCCATGAATATAACTGTACATAGATGTTTGAGGCGAATGTTAAAGCTGAAATGTTAATATTCATTTTGACAAGGTGATGAACACTCATAGTACAACACTTCTGAATATTGGTATAAACTGAAGTCTTTAACGAGACCTCAGGTCTGGAGAGGCCGAGACTACTGTCTGAACGAGACTCTTTAGGTCGCTACATTTGTCAAGTGATAATTCTATAGATTTTAGTATATGATGACCTATCTATGCTTTAACGAGAAACAATAATTTTGAAAAAAGTTATGTGCGTTCGTATCACGACTAATTAATCCTATAGAGTAGTGTCATATTTATGGACAGTGTTTTCAGAACAATGACCACTGTTTTGGAAATTCTTCAATGTGTTGTCATTATTTAACAATTACAACTAGCAACATCAGTATGAATGTCAAGACAATGCACATGTAATTGGCTAACGAGATTTCATTTAATAGATTGATTGGATTTTACTTGTACGAAAATAAACATTTCAATGTGTTGGTTTCATTTATTCGACAATATTTCATTTAAAAAATGATCACAAGAACAAGATGTTACAATCTTGTGGATATATACTTACCATGAACGCAGTTCACCCGGAAGGCATAGTCACATGTCAGTTTCTCCTGGTTCCAGAAGTGGCCGACAGGGCAATTTTTATAGTAGGCAGTGACGGCACTGCCAGTGAAGAGACACTGGACAAACTTACTACAGTCAGTAGGATGTGGATTGAAGCCCGCTCCGTTTGCCATCTTACAACCCAAACATGGATCTGGAAAATATGGATTTATTGTGAAAATTATCACTTTCATATTGAAAGAAAATAAAAATGATTAAACAATCAATTAGTTCATTGTTGGTTGATTCAACAATGTGGCAGATTTTTTGTCAAGAATATTCAAAAGTCTAAAACAAGTATGTAAAGTTTAATCAAACTCCGTTGTCTTACAAAATAACATGTTACTCATACAACTACATGAATTGATTCATCAGAGTATTTGAATGATGATAACCTTACGGACACCGGATCGGTAAACATAAATAAAACAGTTCGCCTAGCACGTTTACAAGGCGAAGAAAACTAGGTTATTATACTGACAATCTCAAAATGCTACATTCTATTTACAGCCGAAGGTAAAAGAGGTAGAATCACGATGGCCAATATTTACACAACTTATTATCATATTTTTATTTTGCATATAATACATATTAGAGAGATGTTAGAGAAAGCTATTGTACGTCTTATGATTTCTATGCAAAATACTTCTTTTGTGCTTCGATCTAATGTTAAAGCCGCGAAAATTATATTTTTGCATTGATAATTTCTAAGCATATCTTAAAATGTATTTTCAATTTCACAACAGCATTACGAATTACCGTATACCATGTGTAAATATCGCCATCTTAAGTCAAAATCAGGAATATTTGATGATGAGGTAGACAATCCATAGGTGTTTACAAAGCTAGTTTGACTGCAACAATATATATATATAGATATATATAGAAAAAACTTGATTTGACGAGATGCGAGTAAATTATATCTTCAGGTGCACAGTAACTGTACATGTACAGTTACTATGCACCTGACGATCTAATACAGTGAAAGCGCTAGTGCAAAATGTAACGTCTTTCTTCTTTTGTCAAAAATCATTTTTTTTTATATATATATATAAGTGGAGGTCGTACGAACCAGATGAAAGGTCATACGAACGAGATAAAAAGACTCAGAAATGCAAATTTAAAGCTTATTTTCACCAGAGATTCTTTGTGCAATCATTTCAGATTTTGATTTGATCGATACTCACTGAAACCTGGCGGAGGCGTCTCCAGTTCCGTTGTTGTGGTAGTGAACCTTCTCGTCGTCGTAGTTGGTGCGGTGGTGGTAGTTTCCGGTTTTGGGACAGGTTTAGTAGGACTTATTGGCTTCCAGAACCAGGACCACATAGGTGGAACAGTTGGCTTTTGAGTCGTAGGTCGTGGAGTAGGACTAGGAGTAGGTCTAGGAGTAGGTCGAGGCGTTGGTCTAGGGGTCGTCGATCTTCTCGTGGTAGTTTTTGGTTTGGGAGTTGTAGTTGTAGTGCCTTTCGGTCTCCAAAACCAAGTCCATTGTGGAGGCAAAATTTGTTTTTGAGTCGTAGGCCGTGGAGTTGGCCGTGTCGTTGGACGAGGTGTTGGGCTAGGAGTCGGGCGTGGCGTGGGTCGTAGAGTTGGTATAGGGGTGTAATGAGGCGTTGGTCTTGGAAAAGGTCGTGGTGTTGTTTGTGGAATTGGTCTGGGATAGGGATGTGGAGTTGGGCGCGGAGTCGGTTTTGGGGTATAGCGAGGCGTAGGTATGGGTGTTGGTTTCTTTGTCGCACGTGCAGTCGGTCGAGGGGTTATAATTGGATTGGGCCGTGGAGTTGGTCGGGGAGTTGGTCTAGGAAATGGTCTAGGGGTGTAATGAGGCCTAGGTGTCGGTCTTGGTGTGGGACGTGGAGTAGGCCGAGGAGTTGGTCTAGGGGTGTAATGAGGCCTAGGTGTCGGTCTTGGTGTGGGGCGTGGAGTTGGCCGGGGAGTTGGTCTAGGGGTGTAATGAGGCCTAGGTGTCGGTCTTGGTGTGGGACGTGGAGTTGGCCGGGGAGTTGGTCTTGGGGTGTAATGAGGCCTAGATGTGGGTCTTGGTGTGGGACGTGGAGTTGGCCGGGGAGTTGGTCTAGGGGTGTAATGAGGCCTAGGTGTTGGTCTTGGGGTGGGATGTGGAGTAGGCCGAGGAGTTAGTTTTGGAGTAGGCCGTTCGACTGGTCGTGGAGTTGGTCTAGGAGTGTAATGAGGCCTAGGTGTTGGTCTTGGGGTGGGACGTAGAGTAGGCCGAGGAGTTAGCTTTGGAATAGGGCGTGGGGTAGGCCAGGGAGTTGGTCTTGGAGTGTATTGGGGCCTAGGTGTTGGTCTTGGTGTGGGACGTGGAGTAGGCCGAGGAGTTAGTTTTGGAGTTGGGCGTGGAGTTGGCCGGGGAGTTGGTCTAGGAGTGTAATGGGGCCTAGGTGTCGGTCTTGGTGTTGGACGTGGAGTAGGCCGAGGAGTAAGTTTTGGAATTGGACGTGGGGTTGGTCGTGGAGTTGGTCTAGGGGTGTAATGAGGCCTAGGTGTAGGTCTTGGGGTGGGACGTGGAGTAGGTCGAGGAGTAAGTTTTGGAGTAGGCCGTGGGGTTGGACGGGGAGTTGGTCTAGGAGTGTTATGAGGCCTAGGTGTCGGTCTTGGGGTGGGACGTGGAGTAGGCCTAGGAGTTAGTTTTGGAGTAGGGCGTGGGGTTGGACGGGGAGTTGGTCTAGGAGTGTTATGAGGCCTAGGTGTCGGTCTTGGGGTGGGACGTGGAGTAGGCCTAGGAGTTGATTTTGGAGTAGGCCGTGGGGTTGGTCGTGGAGTTGGTCTAGGAGTGTAATGGGGCCTAGATGTTGGTCTTGGTGTGGGACGTGGGGTAGGCCGAGGAGTTGATTTTGGAGAAGGCCGTGGGGTAGGCCGGGGAGTTGGTCTAGGAGTGTAATGAGGCCTAGGTGTAGGTCTTGGGGTGGGACGTGGAGTAGGTCGAGGAGTTAGCTTTGGAGTAGGCTGTGGAGTAGGTGCTGGAGTTGGTTTTGGTGTTTGAGATTCTTTTTGATGTTCGGTTGGACGAGGGGTGGGTATAGTAGGTGCAGCACAGACCTCATATACTAGTTGATTATTAACGAAATCTTTGAATTCGTTGAATCGTGGCATGTAGTAAACGTGGTGACGCCCAACAGTTCCTGTCATGACATTAAGTTCGTATCTCCTAGTATTACTGGTGATGCCTACAACGAAAATGTCAATACCCGCTCGCCTGGCCAGGAACGCTTGCTGGGCAACGTTAACAGGAGATGGTGACAGACCGTGCGTAACGATCACGCCAATCCGTCGTACACCCGGCCGGAAGTTAGACGCAAACATCCGGTTCATTTCCAACAGTCCTAGATTAAAATTAATTTTGTAAAGTAAAATTGCAAGACGAACAACGATCATGGTCAAAGCGTAAAATTATCTAAGATATCAAGAAAATAGTTTGAAAAAATAATACAAGTAATATAAAAGCTAAGAAATCTATTCTGATCATAACCTCCGAAACTTTTGAATATTGTCCACAGATTACTATAAACATCCGACACTACCTACACTAAACGTCCCCTTATTAACCTTAATCTTAAAAAGACAAATAGAGGTAAAGCTTATATTCTAAGTAGTTACTTTGTTTCCGAAGGCAGTAGGCAGCGATAAATTAATCACATGATGTTAAAAAATAATGCAGAATCTATAGCATGTCCATTGTCTTTAGTTTTTAGAGCATCGTTTGAAACTGATATCTTTCCGATATAGTGGAAATGGGTTTAGTTATGCCATTATTTAGAAAACGCAGATAGTTTTCCAACTACAGACCAATATAGCTACTTGGTAAGGTTTTTGAACATATATAGTGCGAAAATATTGAAGACTATGCCGTCGACACGTTTAGTTTTTTGTAATATTTCCAAAGCGATCGATTGTGGGTGGCAAAAGTAAAATAATTATGTGAGAAGTAGAAACCGCCAAGTCTTTGTGGAAAATCTATTAAATTTACAAAAATGCAGATGTTATACAATGTATTAAATCCATTACCTTTTAATTAATACATTAATTGTAAAGGTAATAACATTGAAAGACTCTCCAAACCGTTTGTCGACCATACTTCATTATTATATTCCGGAACTTCCCGTTTGGAAAACAAAAATAAAACTAATAACGGTCTAGCTAAAATTCAAAATAGAGCAGGAAAGTGCTTGTTAAATAGTTAAATTCTTGTCTTGGAAAAGCAACCCTTACCTATTTCAAACATTGAACATGGTCATGTCATATATAAGGAATTTAATAATGTGAGTTTGGAGTTTGTAGGTCATTGTAAGCATCTAGGATTAACCTTAGGCAAAAATTGTAAATGAGGTAGACACATAGAAAGTTTATGCAATGCATCGAAACAGTTTAGTATCCCCCATGAATTTAAATAGGTGTTAAATTGAAGAACTTCATAAAGCATGCAAACTTCCATTATTAGAATATTGTTGTGAAGTTTGGATTTGTGTTATCTCTGTGATGCAAACTGTTAAGCCTTCAGTTAGAATCTGCTTGAATTATAACTGTTTACCGTAATATATGTACTCATAGAGAATCACTTTATTTCGATAACAGTTTAAATTCGCTATCAGGACGACGCCTTAGGAGAAAACAACAGCTAGTTTACACTACAAAATAGATAAACACAATAAACTAACTAATAAGCCAAATAAATCTCTCTTTAATATTGAAAAAAATCTTAGCATTTTTATAATTAAAATGCAATATTTGTGGGCACATATTTTTCTCTGCCGGTGCGAGGAGATTAAAGTAATGTTCCCACAGAAATGAGATATTATGTCCTTATATACTTACGAGGAAAAGAGGAGAAGAAATATGAATATGATTTTATGGGCGCTAGTGAGATAGTAAAAACTTTGCAATTTAAGTTACCGCAATTGTGAGGACATGCAAATGTCCCTATGTTGTAAGAGTATCCCCACATTGTGCGTAGTTTACGGAAAATATGCCCCCGTAACTACCGTTTTTTTTCCAGATTTCTAGATACATATGTGTATGTTTAAGTAAAAACAAAATAACACTGTACCTAGATCTGTCCGTGTGCCCGTTCCCGAGGTGTTGGTCTCGTAGACAAACACTTTAAGTCCGTCCTTGTTGGCAGAAATAGTACGTGTCTGTATATGGTTGGCGTCGCTGTACTGTATAAATCCAATGTGTGAGTTGTTTGGATATCGTGGTGGCGTCATAGATTCAATAAAGTTGATAACACCACATTTTATATCAGTGAAATTCTGTCTCGAAATGGTGTTTGACCCATGTATAACAATGATAATATCCATTACCAGCGGACATCCTGTGAACGAGAACGTATTTGTTTACAAAATTATTGAAAACCTGCCGATGTATTTCATATTGATATTTGTACTACTAAAGAAAAGTCAGTGCAGTTTATGAATTCTTTCCACATCATCTGGTCAAATGACTAGATATATATGATATTTTCAGTAGAATAAAAAAAAAAAAAAAAAAGAAAAACAGGCTTTGCAGATCATAGTATCTGTTTCGATGACTCTAAATTAAACAAACTTACTGAAAGGAGGGCTCGTGGTGAAAGTCATCGAAGTTGTGCTTTCCTTTTCTGGTGTCGGTATTGTTGTTGTGGTCTGAGGGGATTCTTCTGTTTCTTCAGAGCTTCCCTTTGGAGGTGCCGGTGTCGGCGTTGGTGTGGTCCTTACAAAGGTTTTCGAAGTTCCTCTTGACATAAAATTCGTTGGAGTTGTGGTTTCCTTAGAACCATCAGAACTTTCGGAAGATGAGGATGACGAAGAATAACTTTCCTGCGTTGAGGAATCGTCGTTTTCGTCAATCTCGGACGAATCATCAGAATCATCGCTCGCTGATTTCGGAATACGATCTTGAGACGAGTCATCATTTTCTTCCGGTTTTTCCAAGGACGATATTTGCGTTGGCGTTGTTTGATCAAAAGAAGAACCGATTTCCTTATAACCAGGTTCTGACGGGGTATGTTTTGGCGTTTCCTTATTATTTGTTTTTGTCGCTGTGTTTTTGACTGTTTTGTCCTTATCGAAATCGTCAATTTCCTTAAAATTCGTATGTGATTTCTTCTGTTTCTCTGATGTCTCACGTGACAACTCCGTGTTTCCTTCGTTTTCATCATCCTTGTTGTCTCGGATGCCATTAACTTTACCAGAGTTGTCATTATCATCGACATCTTGTTTGCCATTTGTCTGTGAATTTGCAGTGATAGATTTTTTATCATCAGATGGATCGGAGTCTGAATTTGTTTGTTTTGTTAAAGGCCCTCCTAATAAATCAGGATCGCTTTCGTCATCACTCTTCTCGTCTTGTGCGTCGTCAACTTTCCAAGTGTTTCGGGTGTTATCATTACCGTTATCATTATCATCATTATCAGAATTTTCCTCGTCAGTTTCTTGTATCTCCTTAATTCTGAGGGTTTTGGCACTATTCGAATAATTAGTTTCTTTTGAATCGGAATGCGAACTCTTTGGCTTTGCTGTAGGCCCTTGTGATAAGTTTCCAATATTTTCATTTTCATCACCACTTTTCTCGTCTTGGGTTTCATCAACTTTCCAAGTGTTTTGGTCTTTATCATTACCTTCATCTCCATCATCATCAGAATTTTCTTCGTCAGTTTCTTGCATATTTTTAATTCTAAGGGTTTTAGCACCATTCGAATCAGCAGTTTCTTTTGGATCGGAATGCGAACTCTTTGGCTTTGGTGTGGGTCCTTGTGACAAGTTCTCATTATGTTCGTTTTCATCACCACTTTTCTCTTCTTCGGTTTCGTCAAATTTGGCTGTGTTTTGATCTTTGTTATTACTTCCATCTCCATCATCATCAGAATTTTCCTCGCCATCTTCCGGTATCTCTTGGTCTTTGAGGGTTTCGGTATCATTCGCATCATCGGGCTCTTTTGAATCAGAATGTGGACTCTTTGGTTTTGCTGTAGGCCCTTGTGATAAGTTTCCAATATTTTCATTTTCATGACCACTTTTCTTGTCTTGGGTTACGTCAACTTTGGCTGTGTTTTGAGCTTTATCATTGCCTTCATCTTCATCATCATCAGAATTTTCCTCGTCATTAGCTTGCATCTCTTGGACTCTGAGGGTTTCGGCACCATTCGCATCATCAGTTTCTTTTGAATCGGAAAGTAAACTCTTTGGCTTTGTTGGAGGACCTTGTGATAGGTGTTGCTTATCTTTGGTTTCATCGTCATTTCTCTCGGAGTCGATGTCATCGGATTTAGCAGTAATTTCAGGGTTATCATTATTGTCATGGACATTTTCCGATTCAAGATCGTCAATAAAAGTTTTGTAATGTATTATGTTACTGGCATCTCGAAACCTGTCATAGCGTGGACGTTTGATTGGGTAACCAGTATCTGTAAAAGTAAGAATTGCAATCCATTTGAAAGCGTATGATATACTTTTATTTTTAAGAGAATCTAAACAAACGCGTCACTTAAACATATGTATAGTTATTTACAAGAACACAAATAGTTATTCTAAATGAAAATTGGAAAGCAGTATTCTAGCTAGTCAATCTGTTCATATCTTATCTTCAATAGTACATTTGACAATCTGGTTTAGTTTCACAAATCTTTGAATGAAAACAGACATCTAAAATTGAAGGATCACTGATCACGCAGAATCATAAATGATATTCTACACTTTTGATAGATTTAAAGCTACTTCACATTGTGATATCTTTATACTGCAGTAAAATGATGGCTCGCAGCATGTGGTTGATTTCATTAATGTGAACGTTTGTTTTATGGATTATTCATCAATATGATTGTAACCCTGGTAAAATACTAGCCGCAATATACCACTCGGCTAGAGAGAATGTAACCCTGGTAAAATACTAGCCGCAATATACCACTCGGCTAGAGAGAATGTAACCCTGGTAAAATACTAGCCGCAATATACCACTCGGCTAGAGAGAACTTCTCTTTAGCTCGATTGGTTGAGTGTCAGACTAGTAAGCCAGGGGAGGCATTGAGATGAAAAATGAACTCTGTTACATTGGCGCCCATGTAGGGACCCGGGATTAGTACTTAGCCATGCCCCATCGGCCATCGAGGACGAGTTCTTTCCTGGAGGGGGAGTATGTAACCCCACTCGGTTAGAGAGAACTTCTCTTTAGCTCGATTGGTTGAGCGTCAGACTAGTAAGCCAGGGGTCCCGGGTTCGAATCCTAGTGGAGGCATTGAGATGAAAAATGACCTCTGTTACATGATGATTGTATCAGCCAGGAGATAAATGGTAGATTATTACCATCTGATTAATGGTGAAATGAATGAAAATCCTCAAATAAAGCATTTAAAGGTTGTGTCTGAAAAAACACCATGAAAGTGCATTTAACATCATTAAATTTTGATAATGCCGTACATCTACATACACAATCTTACGCTATCAAATAATTTCTAAAGTTTTGTTTGTGTATTCAATTTTTAAAATATTAATATCACTTTATAGATAAAATTTTAACGAGAAACTGGTAACATATACTTAATACTTTATTTAATAAGATATATTATAGTGAATGTTTAAGGCTACTGTTACACTTTAACTCACCCACAAGATCATCTAACGAGATCTCATCGTCATCCCACCATAACTGGGCATGCGCAGTTAGCCATAAGCTGCACGTGAATGACACCACCAAAATGACCACCGAAATATGAGAGGCCATTTCTAATCTGAAACGAAGGAAATAAGCACGTTCGTTACTCACAATATATAATGAGCTCAATAAGATTATCCATACAGAACGAAAGCTGCCATTATTAAAAAACAAACAAAAATTATATCGACATGAAAAGTCTCACCTAAGGTCAATAAAACGATGCCAGAACATGGAAAAGTGACTAAAAGGGAACTTTGGGCAGACAGTGAACTGTATATATGTAGAGACAGGGTTCTGAAAAATGGGTTCTGTGTATTCAATCAAATATAAGTAGTTGTATTGAATGAATGTGAGAGTGGATGGGTGCTAAGTGGGTTGAATATATATTTGTTATAATTTTGTATATATATAAATTCCAAGTGAATACATTTGTTGAATGTATTATTTATCGTTGTTTTATCTGTTTGCTACCAATTAGGCAGAGCCTATATCACCACAATTCTTGACACTGACTATAATAATTGGTATGTCTGCGAGTTTCTTTTCTCGTGAATTTTGAGGATAGAATAAAATAAAATGGATTTCCGGAAAAATTAATGTTAAGAGAGGAAACCAAAATCCGTCTCATTATTTCCATGAAAATTCAATCCTGTTGCTCAAACCATTAATTACAGAACACGAATACTTTTGAAAAAGACAAAAAAAGGAAGGAGGAGTACCTGTTACTTAACGGACAAATCGGTAATGTAACTTTATCAATATAAGTTAATAAGGCATCGTTGAAGTAAGTTGGGATCTCAAGCGACAAACAAAGACACGAGAATTCGCATTCGACACAAACTGCAGCAACGGAACTTTGAATACAACTATACAGATCAGAAGGCGAATATTCTTGACAACACCTTCTTGAATTCGTTGTAATGTTTCCCGACATATATAAAATAAAAATATCTTCCCATACACATTATTAATATTACACGTATCAGGCAGGCAAAAATTTAGATATAAATAATAATAACACTATCCGTCCAGGAAATTCACGATGGCTTTATGCATTTAGACTAGCATTAAGAGGTAACAGTAAATATCCAGGGTGCTGACTCAGTCCCGGAAATCAGAGTTATCATCAACAGAAGACATTACAACAGGTCATAATCACGCTCCCACTTCTTTGTAGTAAGTCACGAAACACTTAGATAATTTATGGTGGGTAAGCGGTCTTTTGCCAGTACGGGACATTAAAATTGACGGGAATAACAAAGGTTATTATTCAAACCCAAAAACAACACGTTTTCTTATAACAGACCTCACAAATTATTTTTTTAATTTCTTAATTTCATATATCAATTTAATCACATTAGCAAGTGTCCGGTTCACAGATTAAAATGAATATACTCGTGTTTAGGAATATCCTTGAAAGTACTGGTAAAAAATATTGTGAGATAGCAAAAAAAACTTTATCTTATCGTTACCTGGATACTTAGACAATACAAGGTCCTAAATGATGACTTATCATTTCGAGGAAGTTATTTATCAGTGAACGTGATGTTTTCGTCATGTTGTCTTCTTCTATGTATTTGTGTTGTCATTTCAGTAAATACATTTATTATATTAAACGGTAACATATCCATATTCTCTATTTTTTTACGAACGAATAGACACAGACTTAACGTCACCGAATAAAGATTCAGTACAGATATTTTTGATAGAAGTTGTTTTGACATAAATAACTATTATGCAGAATATTAATATACTCAACAAAAACAATTAAATTTACATTATTTTAAATAAGAATTTACATACCTGCTCAACTTAAATCTGCAATACACGTTCAGAGCATCGAGAAATATAATCCGATCACAAAAGTTTATACAAATGTATAATTATGTAGATCCACAATACCAGTACACGTAGGAGTCAAAAAACAAGCATGGTCTAAATTCAAGTCTTTGATTACCTTGATTGGTAACTATCACTTACGTCATATTTATTTTTCTCTAAGCGACATTAAATGTCAAATGTCAAACAACACGTCACAAAAGTATCATACAACAGAGATATGGTGGTACTTATTCTGACCAGATTTACAAACCCTCCACGTCATACCCACAGTCAAAAGTATCATACAACAGAGATATGATGGTACTTATTCTGACCAGATTTACAAAGCCTCCACGTCATACCCACAGTCAATACTAATAATTTGTGTTAATGATTATTTAGGATGATCTTCTGGTATCACTCCATTTGTCCTACTAGAATTATAATTTTGGGATTCATTTCATTATCATATTAGGGTGTAGGAATGCTGGAGGATAATATGTAACAGACTGAGACGACCCCCAGTACTGAACCCCCATGGCCATGTTGTTAGTGATTTTACGATTGTGATTATCATTAGATATACATGTATTCTATTCTGTCACCGCGACACAGTTGTCATGTCATCTAAGCTACTTCAGGATGAATTAATGAGTTTTATAGTCGAAGCGAGATTTAACGTTGTCTGTAGTTGTTTAAACATTAAATAAGATACAATACTTTACCGTGTTTTTATTGTTTCTCTGACACGACCGACTTCGATTACTGTTTAGAAATTTCTAATCGTATGCTAAGCTGTGCATTAATTACACCCATAAAATAACACTAATTGATTGTAAGTATATTTGAAGCTGTCTTATTAATAATTCCGGAATGAATCTGCCCGTTGAAAGCTTTCAATACCAGCGTGATCCACGTAGGTAGAGAGAGAAAAATGAGTATTTGACTGAGGTGTACTCAAAGATTTTACTGAAAATATAAATTTCCCACTCCACATAATTACTTTTCCCCAAAGTCGATATCTCTTTGTTTTGGTGAAATAAACAGGATTTCATGATGGTTGAATTTTAATACAAGGCACGGATCTTTTTTGTTTCCAGAGTGGTTTATGCCTTCCATTTCATCAAAGACACCGATCAAAGTTAATCTAGCCCAAAGCTATAAGTAACATATTCATGGTGGTATGTGATGAATATCACAACCTCAAACTCGTATCAGAGAAGACGATATCACAAAGTCACAATTATGATCATAATGGAAAAACAGGAAAACACGAACATGTCAACATAATCATAATCCAAACTGAAAATCATTAGAACTAGGAAACACGAACATGTCAACATAATCATAATCAAACTGAAAATCATTAGAACTAGGAAACACGGACATGTCAACATAATCATAATCAAAACTGAAAATCAATAGAACTAGGAAACACGGACATAATCATAATCAAACTGAAAATCAACATAATCATAATCAAACTGAAAATCAATAGAACTAGGAAACACGGACATGTCAACATAATCATAATCAAACTGAAAATCAATAGAACTAGGAAACACGGACATGTCAACATAATCATAATCAAAACTGAAAATCAATAGAACTAGGAAACACGGACATGTCAACATAATCATAATCCAAACTGAAAATCAATAGAACTAGGAAACACGGACATGTCAACATAATCATAATCCAAACTGAAAATCATTAGAACTAGGAAACACGGACATGTCAACATAATCATAATCCAAACTGAAAATCAATAGAACTAGGAAACACGGACATGTCAACATAATCATAATCCAAACTGAAAATCATTAGAACTAGGAAACACGGACATGTCAACATAATCATAATCCAAATTGAAAATCATTGGAACTAGGAAACACGGACATGTCAACATAATCATAATCCAAATTGAAAATCATTGGAACTAGGAAACACGGACATGTCAACATAATCATAATCCAAAACTGAAAATCAATAGAACTAGGAAACACCAACATGTCAACATAATCATAATCCAAACTGAAAATCAATAGAACTAGGAAACACCAACATGTCAACATAATCATAATCAAACTGAAAATCATTAGAACTAGGAAACACGGACATGTCAACATAATCATAATCCAAACTGAAAATCAATAGAACTAGAATCATAATTAGGTTACTCTTGTTGATCATCTGGTCCTATTCTCCTTGTGCTTTTTCAGGAGTCTCCTTGTAAAGCTCTCTTTTGTTCGTTCATATTTTGCCCTGGTTTTATTGAGTTTGGGTTATGATGATGTTTGCATGTTGGTATTTTCTTGTTGTTTTTAACTCAAGGTAAAGGGCCAATGCAGAATTTTCTTTTTCAAGATTTGCAAGTTTTTTTTATTTGTCATCCCATTGTTTGAAAGTGATATTAAGGTAATAACCAACATGATAATATTTCTCTCTTGTTTGCGAAGGACACATTTATGTTAATAGGTTTAAACAACAGGAATTAAGCCTGGTTGTATAGTTATAGAAGTATAGCTTTAGTTGTTAAAAATGTCTGTCATATGGTGTGTAGTTTCAAGCGCTCTTGGTTATGAACTTATGTCTGTCATATGGTGTACAGTTTCAGATGCTCTTGGTTGTTAAAAATGTCTGTCATATGGTGTACAGTTTCAAGCGCTCTTGGTTGTGAACTTATGTCTGCCATATGGTGTACAGTTTCAAGCGCTCTTGGTTGTGAACTTATGTCTGCCATATGGTGTACAGTTTCAAGCGCTCTTGGTTGTGAACTTATGTCTGCCATATGGTGTACAGTTTCAAGCGCTCTTGGTTGTGAACTTATGTCTGCCATATGGTGTACAGTTTCAAGCGCTCTTGGTTGTGAACTTATGTCTGCCATATGGTGTACAGTTTCAAGCGCTCTTGGTTGTTAAAAATGTCTGCCATATGGTGTACAGTTTCAAGCGCTCTTGGTTGTGAACTTATATCTGCCATATGGTGTACAGTTTCAAGCGCTCTTGGTTGTGAACCTATGTCTGCCATATGGTGTACAGTTTCAAGCGCTCTTGGTTGTGAACCTATGTCTGCCATATGATATACAGTTTCAAACGCTCTTGGTTGATAACTAATGTCTGTTATATGGTGTACAGTTTCAAGCGCTCTTGGTTGTGAACCTATGTCTGCCATATGGTGTACAGTTTCAAGCGCTATTGGTTGTGAACTAATGTCTGCCATGTGGTGTACAGTTTCAAAAGCAC